CCCAAGATCCCCTTTCTTGCAAGTCTCCATGAGCACACTCTATTTTGTACTGACTCTTCTAATACAGACTGGGAGAGCTCCAAGGAATCTCAGCAGAGTGCAGGGAACAGAAGAGTAATTTATTCTGAAAAGTTGCTGATTCAATGAGCTAAATCATATCCTTGTATAAGGGAGTGTGGGATTTGGGGGAAAAAATTGGAAAACTTCAAGTTCCATTTTATGATGTGGACAAAGTATTACAATTCAATTTTCAAGTGAACTGATTTCAGATACAACAAAGCAAAATAAATAGAGAGAAATGACGATTAATGTATTTTGTTCAATATCCTATGCTTCAGTTAAAGGATAGATAACTGAAGGCAGAAAGGAAGAAAGAATAGCCAAAGAAAGTAAACAATATACCACAGTATTAAGACGTATTTATTAAATACACTTAAGTAATATCACTTACATTTTTGTGCTCTCACGTCAAATATGTTTAATATGCAGAGTTAGGCAAGTCAGTAACTTCATGGTACCTTTTCTGCTTTTTCACAATCTCATTAATGAAAAATATGGAGGTCAGATTTCAGTTCCATGAAGCAGAGTTTAGAAGGTTTCACATCTGTTCTTATAAGAAAAAGCTAGACCAACTGAAAATCAGTGAGTTTTCTTCAACCTACACAGAACTAACATTGCAGGGCCAACTGCCAACCCAAACATCTTGAGACAGATCCATATAAAGTGTTATATCAGATTGATTACCTGAAGTAATGTATGCTGGAATCATAAACTAGTAGGACTACTTAAATGGCAATTTTTATGAACTGCTGGATGCTGAGTGTGAACTAGAATGAAACTCAGAAACTCCTGAGGCCACAGTTTCAGGAGAGTTCCAACACTTTAGTGGTATTACCTGAAGGAACACAGCTAAAATTATCATGGGCAGTCTTAGAAATATGCCCTCATGGCTCCAGCAAGATGAGAGGAAGATTAATTCTTAAGAAATAAGCTCAGAATATTCTCCATAACAAAGACCTACTAAAAGACTTTGCCAAAACTTTATCTCAACTAAAGAAAAGGAATTTTTTCCCAGTCCAGCCTCTTCTGGTGTTCCTGTCTCATCCAAAGTTTGAGGAAAAATATTGTCAATCGGAGTTAGGATTTCAGTAAAATAGATTGGGAATATTGCCGTCAGAGGAAGGAATAGAGAACTCGGGGGAGGGGACGACTATGCTACTAGAGAGACACTTGTGAGGGTCACAGCCCACAGCCCAAAGACATTTACATATGAGAGTATGGAACATTTTTCTTCCTCCCCCTTATTACTCTACCAACAGCTTTAGTGTATGAACAGTGGATTACAATTGAAATATCAGCGAGAGGCAGATTCTTTCTCATGAGGGATACTCAGAGAAGCCCAAAGTCAAGAATGGTGACAAAAACAATGACACGATGACTTTAATCCTATGGTATCTAAAGCTACAGCAAACATTAAATACAGCCCTGCTCTTACTCAAATTAACAGAAATCCTAACATCGAAGACCTATTTATCTCAGTTTCTATTACTTGATTTATGTCTGACTTTCAAGAAAAATTAGGTGTGACAAAAAAGCAAGTGAAAACAGTCTGAAAAGACAAATGAAACGTGAACACCAGTCTCTGATATTACAAAGATGTTTAAATTATCAGCTAGGGAGTAAAAATAACTATGCTGGTTAACTATTAAGGCTTCTATTGGAAAAAGTATGCAACATGAAAAAACATATGGGTAATGTTAGAAGAGAGAGGAACTCTAAGGAAAGAAACTGCTCGACATCCAAAACGCTAATAAAAGTGAATATTGCCTTTGACGGGCTCATCAGTAGATTCAACATGGCTGAGGAAAGTAAGCTTATCAATAGGTTAATAGGAACTTCCAAACTTGGAAAGCAAATAGAAAAAATACAGAAGAGAGTGGTACAATTTTAAGAGATGCGACATAAGCTCCATGAGAGCAAAGATCAGGTTTTTGTTGTTGTTCATTAAATTAACTCCACAAATTAAACGAAGTGCCTAGTATTACTTAAGTTCAAGATAGAAATGAACTAAATTAATAACTAAATGAATTAAAAAAAATACTTTTAGTACATTCCATGATTAAGATGGCTTAATATGTTAATACTTTTATTTTGCCTTAACAAAGAGAATGGCTATGAAAAAGCAGAATGGGGAAGCGGGGAGGAATGATATGTGGAGAAGGCTTTTCCTTCAATCACTGAATAAAAAGGATTGCTTCACTCTCCTAAATTAGGAACCACAAAATCCATATGCTGTGTTGGTATGAATTAGGCCTCGATTATATAAAGAAAGTTCTTTGGTTCTTTGTTCTCAAAGAACCCTTAGTAAGGACACACACAAGAAGTCAGAGCCCACTGGGTGTGACTGCTATCACCCATAGAGCTATTGACTCGCTCACAACAAGGACATTTCATAAACAGAAGTGACATTAAATTCAAATTTCCAACTCTGTGGGCATAGGTGTACGGAGAAAAAATATTCCACTTTGATTTCCTTTGCATGCTGTGGAAAATTCAACTGATGATTGCAATGTGGTTACTGCCATGAAGAGAAAGTCAGGTCTGCTCTCCCTGTACTATCACCATTTCAGAGTCTAAGTAACCATGACAGCATGCATTCATCCTCAAAGCTTTTAAGAGGATTTGAGATTAAGGTTGAAGAGAAAACCCAGATGTTCTTCTAGAAAAAATTACACTTATACAAGGAAGATAAAAAAGACCTATTTATAAAAGAGACTATGTTTTTGGTGAAATGCAACAAATTCTATATTCATAAGAGTTAATACCAAGAATTCATATTGCTGGATAATTTTCAACAAAACTCTTCTGCTTATAACCAATATTTTAGAAGCTGCATAGCAATTGATGTTTGTTAACTGTTAGGAATCAGGGCTATGATATTGCATCTAACATGAGTGCATGGGGCCGCTGAAGAAAACATGGTTTCAATAGTGAGCATGAAAATCACAGTGTTCAGGTAACAAGGAAAATATTTAAGTCTTTTGTATAGTCTGGACACACTAGAAATTTCAATAAGAGCTGTATTCAAATAAAACAATAATTTGATAGATCAACATTTGTATGCTCAACATTTACTCCATGCATGATTTTTTAATACTTAAATTCAGGTAGTAAAAACATTACATTTTCAACAAGAAACAATCAGTATGTTGTGTACTATATTTTACTTCTTACACTCTAACGTGTGGTCATAGTATCCAGTGGTCAGCACAGTTTGTGAACTCATGGAAGTGCCCAGATACTACATCATAGGTATTCCATTCTGCACTGCTGACTTTATGGAATTAGGCATAATCATCATAGTGGATGTGATTTGCATATAAATTGATATTTAATTGGCAAATTGTTCATTTTCAATTGGTTACACTTCATTTATTCTGAGCAAAGGAATATGGCTAGGGAAACCTATATTTCAAGTCAATTTTTATATAATTTTGCAGAATAACAAATTCATACTATCTTACTCCTGAAATTTATATAGTACAATCTCATATCAAATGAGCAAAACTTCTAACACCACTGAAATAAAGTAGATAAATGTCCACATTCATAATCACTATTACTGACATATATCTACTATAGATTTAATATTTAGTAAGTCAAAAGATCATACATACACATCTAAAATGATATACTTTCAAAGTTCTCAGATCTTTTACTAGTTGTTGCCATATACACATGTACATATATGTATATGTGTGTGTATATATATATATATATATATATATATATTGCTTGCTTTAATATAAATTAGTTTTACTAGTCACATCTGTAAAAACTCGAGGATCAACTTTAAAAGTACATTCTAGGAGTTATTTGAAAACAATAAATTATATAGAGAGATTAATGATTTTCATCATTACATGTTTTGAGAGCCAGATATGTTATTTTTCTTATACAATTTGTGTGGGATAGCTTGATCTTCTAGATCTTAAATGTTAAAAACAATGAAAAAATATAAATATTCTTTCCTCTACCATAGATTTAAAAAACTTAAGGTAAATAAAGTAAGTTGTAAAAAAGCTAGAGACCTACAGTTCAAAATATCTTATATTAGCGTTTGAACTCTGCTGAGTAAATAAGGGCAACCTAACAGAAAGGTGAACTTACACATCTATACAATATATTTTAGCATGCCACATTTTTAAACTTTCTAATATTTTCCCTAGGAAGTACATGACAGTACACACAGAATTATGTTCATAGTAGAAAAGCTAGAATGTCACTATCAATGGAAATTGAAGATTCTCTGAATATTAGTAACTAGACAACCAAGTTGTAATCCTCCAACTAGGCACTGACTTTGGGACAAAGAGGTTCTTTTTAGAAGGTACATATTGCCATGCTTCAAATAGATATGCTAAAGTTAGACTGGTTAGCAATATATCAAGAAGCATTTTTTTCAGGTGTATTTTTTATTGAAGATACAATTTTCTCCAAAAACTGAAGGGAAATGTGATTTTATTTTGTTTAGTTTTATTTATTTTTTATTTTTTAATTTTTTTATGCCTGCAGCACCTGGTCTTCCTAGGTGGTCTCCCATCCAAGTACTAACCAGGCCCAGCCCTGCTTAGCTTCCAAGGGAAAATGTTTTTTTAAAACCACATATAGCTATCATGATATTTTCTAGCTAGAATAAACCACTTAAATCAATTGTACCATTTATATTTTTCCAACTGGTAATACTTCATTTTCAGTTCTATGGCGAACATTTCAAAATAATGAATGCAATGAAATGTAAAACTTGATATACGTCTTTTTTTAATTGATAAATTTGACAAATACCATTTTGTAAATTTAAGATACACAGGATGTTACTTTAATACATTTATATATTATATTACGATTGCCACTGAAGACATATTTATTATAGTACATTATTGTCTGTATTCATTGTATTGTGCATTAGATTTCTCTGGCTTATTTACTACTCGTTACAAAAAAATATGGAATGCTTCACAAATTTGTGTGTCTTCCTTGTACTGGAGCCGTGCGAATTTTCTCTATCATTTCAATTTTAGTAAATGTGCTACCAAAGTGATCTCTTAGTATACTATTTTGAGTTATTACTGCAACTCTGAATCCACATGGAGTCTTGATGCATTCCAAATATATATAAATGGAAAATGGCATTTAGAACCCAATATCTGGGCTCCAAGTGTGCTTATTACTACTGGGGTGCCAATGCTTCTAGTATCTTTTTAGTGTACAGACCTAGGAAATATTAGTATGTATACTAACCCACACAAATAAACATTTATATTTATGTATCTAGTTATGTGTATATATGCAGTATATTTTATGAATGATATATATCTATATATATATACCAGAATTCTGCTAATAAGATAAACTTTAATTATTACAAATGTCTGCTCTATGAGCAGCTAAAATATTAAAAGTCAAGATGGTGGATTGTGATAACTGGTGCAAAAATATAAATTATTCATTGTTCCTTATTTCAGAAACACATACAAAAAATAAGAGAAAAGCATAAGAATTTCAATAGAATGCAGAGAGGATATTTTATTGAAAGAAACTAATAATAACATGTTTTTTACAAGATTATTTTCAGAACATTAGAAAGTGACCATGTACAGGCAAATACTTGAGAAGTGTTTTCACATGAATCTGATTCTGGGCTTGACCATGTGACTCATTTTGACTAATGGAATATTGGCAAACGTGACACAGTTAAGAGCTGCTCTCCTACTTCTCTGCCATAACCCTGAGAAAGTCATGCCCAGGCTGACTTCTGACTTTTGGTCCCAGTAGAAAAATAGAAACTTTTGGGGCAGAACTAATTACTCCCATCTTTGCCCAGCCTTGATCGACTCTGAATAAATGACAGTGGCTTTAACACAATGACTTTTAAAATTTTTTGCAGCCTTTTTAAGGCAGTAGCTAACTGATTGCCCTGAATTCAAGACATATTGAAATATTCACATTTTTTTACAGTTTCTTGACACATTAGATTTCCTCAGCCTAGCATTTTCATGCCCTTTTCAAAGCCTATCTTTCATGGTCCTCTTCAAATGCTACATTTCTCTGAAAACAGTCCCCTGTCATAAGTTATCAACTTATATCTATTTTCCAGAACACAGCTCTTTTATTGTTTTGCCACTCTGAGAGATTATAACTTGTGTTATAGCTATCCGTATATCCTTCATATTTCTACTACTGGAATATACCTGTGAAGTGTGGCTTGAATCACATTTATCTCATTATTCTCAATTATTAGAGTTTAAATATTATTGTTCTGCATATTTCATAAATAGTTTTACAATAAAAATGTATTTATTAAAAAGGTATTTTTGAGTTCTAATCAAAAATCAGAAACTATTATTGCTTTGGTAAAGGGGTGAGATGAGGAAGCGAATCAATTATTATTAGGGCAAGTTTAAGCATAACTCACATACATTAAAAACCAGTTTTCTAATCATTGGCTTGCAGAGTTGAGGGCTCCTTAGTTGTTTTTGGCTTGCTGTTAATATCAAGCATTTTCCTTCCTTTAATATGATTAGAAAAACTTTGTTCTAATTCACTGATATTAAGATGTTTTCTTCAATTTCTTTTAAATTAATGGAAGAGCATTCGCTTGATATAATGATACTCTTACCTTAGTGAACAAAACTGAGCAATTTTGAACTAGAATATTAAAATACCTTTAAGTATTTTTTTCTGCCATATCCCTGAATCCACAGGGAGTCATGATGCATTCTAAATATTTCTAAATGGAGGATGGCAATTAGGATCCAATATTTGGCCTCTAGGTATGCTTATTACTACTAGGGTACCATTGCTTCTAGGTCTTCTTAGTGTACAGAGCTGGGGAATATACGTATGTATACTAACTCATGCAAATAAACATATCTATATTTATGTACCTAATTATATATATATGTGTGTGTGTGTGTGTGTGTGTATATATATATACACATATATGTATATATATATACACATATATGTCATAATTGCACTAATAAGTTAAATTCCAATCTAGTACCACAGAGTTCAATTTAACCTGCCTCCTTTTCTTATTTGTAAATTCTTTCTACAACAGTGAGAGACCTGGTTCTTATCAGCTACAATATATTTACTTGTTTGATTATGGTAATGGATATATAAAGCAGTTTCATGATACCCATGAAACATATTTGTGGGGTTTTTTTGTCCTTATAGTATCCAGCCAAGGTACTGTTTTCCAAAGTTACTTAAAATAGTTCTTTTATTTGCATGCTAATAGAATTAGGTTTATTTATTAGTAATTGTATTCTATTTTTAATTTTCCTACATCTTGGTTGATTTTAATTGTTGATTTGTCTTTGAGGTATGTGAACTATTACTGTGGATCTAACAGTTGAATACACAAAAGACAATGAAGTATGTCACTTCCTCCATCTGCTTTGTTAGTATCAATCCCTGCTTTTTTCTATTTCTTTTCTACACATCCTTGATAAGAAACCAAACTCTTTACTTTCTGGTTTATCATTTCTTCAGCACCAAAAAATTCAAATATGCTCAAAAAAAGATGCAGACTAGTTGTAAAACACATGTGCCAAACTGAAGTGACTTCCGATTTGAGCAACAAAATAAGTGTATTACTTTATTATAACTCATGAAATCAAAATAATAGTGAATCCATAAATGCATAAATACATATCATTCAAAATATAGATTAACCACAAAAGAAAGACAATAATTTTACAGTGGAGAAACCAGGAATGTCAACATCATCGGTAGTAAGACATAGCAGATTATGTATCCTATGATGTAATGCTTTAAGAATTTAGCATTAGACTCCAGTCCAGTCAAGAAGATGTGTCAGATTCAACCAAATTGAATGACAGACAAAATAAATTATCAATATTCTTTGAAAGTGTCAAGGTCATAAAAGACAAGGAAAGTCTGAGGAACTATTATAAACTAAAAGAGGCTAAGGAGAAATAATAACTAAATGTATTGCGGAATTCTGGATTTGATCCTGGAAAAAAGCGTTAATGAAAAAGATGATGAAATTTGAAGGAAGTCCCAAGTTTAGTTCATAGTATTGTATCAATGTTAACTTCCTGGTTCCAACCATATTACTTAATGTTGTCCCAGAGGCCTCTTAAAGCATCTTTATTTATTTATTTATTTTTTGTATTCTTCGTTCTTTTTGCTCTTCTGATTGGTTGTTTTCTGCTACCTTATCTCCCAAATCACAGATTGAATCTTCTGCTTCATCTAGTCTACTGTTGATTTTCTCCAATACATTTTTTATTTCAGTTACTGTATAATTCATTTCTGACTGGTTATTTTTTTTATGTTTCCTATCTCTTTATTGAAGTTCTCACTGAGATTATCAAGCATCCTTATAATTAGTGTTTTGAACTCTGAATCTGGTAGATTGCTTGTCTTCATTTTGTTTAGCATTTTTTTTTTTCTGGAGTCTCCTTTTCTTTCATCTGGAACATGTTTCTTTGTCTCCCCATTTTGGCTGCTTCCCTGTGTTTGCTTCTATGTATTATTTGGGCTGCTTTGTCTCCCAGTTTTAGCAGAGTGGCCTTATATAGTAGGTGTCTTGTGGAGCCCATGGTGCAAGCTCCCTGGTCATCTGAGCTGTGTGCTCCAGGTGGATTGTGTGTGCCCTCCTGTTGTAGTTGAGCCGGTTGATGTTTGCATGTCAACGGGAAGGATTGACCCATGATCTTATTGGTCATGAAGACTAACCAGTGGAGGAGCTGTTGCGCAGGGACTGGCCCTACTGCACAAGATTTGCTTTAGTGGGGTTCTGGTGGCTCCTCAGTCTGCCCTTTCGGTGTGTTGTTTGTGGGGGTAGTTGGGTGGTCCTCTGGTGTGTCCTGAGGCTGTTCACCTCGTGTGTTGGTTCTGGGGCCTCATAGACATTCTGTTGTAGTCCATGGTCAGCTCCTGTTTCTGCCCTCCCTGGAGCACCTTAGTATGAGCTACAAAGTGATCTGCAGATGTCTGCCACCCATGCTATGCTTGGAAGTGCCTGCGAGAAGCTAAGCTATAAACCAAGGCTAGCTGCCACTAGGGCTGCTTAGCAAGAAGTGTGTGGTCACACCGAGGCCAGAAGCTGCTTGTTTGGGTTTTGTGAACTCTGAGAGATTTTAGGAAAATCCACAGCATGAGCCAAGATGGGCTGTTTGTATGGAAAAGCCACAGGCTTTTTGTATAGAAGAGTTTTGAGTGGACCCTCAAGTTGGGAGGGGCAGGTTCTAAAGAAATCACTGGGATGGAGTGAACAGTATTAGCTAGATTGACGTAGACTTAGATATGGCAGCTGCTCAGTGTACACAATAGGTGAGGAAAGGGCTCAACAAAGGAACAAAGGCTTCTGCCAGCACTTCTGTCTATGAGAAAGCTTTTCTTCCAAACCTCACCCTGATGGCAAATAATTCAGTTCCTCCCTCTCTATCCCTGGTGCTTTTCGAGCTGCTGCCTCAGCACTGGAGCTCAGAATAAGTGCATTTGTTTGTGAGTATGTCTGTGCACAGGCTCTTCAACAGAAGCATCTGTGACTCCAATTGCCCTCCATCTCCCTCTGCCACAGTCTTCACTGGTTTTCACAGCCAGAAGTTGTGGGGACTTCTCTTCCTGGCACTGGAACCCTGAGCTGAGGAGCCTGATGTGGAGCTGGGACCCCTTACTCCACAGGGAGGATCTCTGCAGCCAAGATATTCCTCTCAATTTTTAACTGCCACCTGTGGATTTGGGATCAGCCCCTTCCATGTCTTGGCCCCTCTTACCAGTCTTGAAGTGAGTTTTTCTGTGTCCTTAGTTATAGGATTTCTGTTCAGGTAGGCTTCAGGTGATTCTCAATGACAGTTCTGTAGTTTAGTGGTAATTTTGATGTGGTCGTGAGAGGCAGCAAGCACAGTGTTTACCTAACCTACCACCTTAACCGAAAGAAACTCTCTTTAACTATTATTTAAGTCTAAAGTTAGTTCAAAAAAATAAAAATATCCCTACTTTTCTAGAATTCAAGTATTTTATTAAGAATTATTAAAACCATGGGTAGCTTTAAATATCTTTCTTG